CCACCACACCCAGCCCCAAATGGTGCTATTATCAAAACTTTTAAAAGGAAACCAAACTAACCAGAGTAGCTTTCAGAGCCAATTCAGCTACATTCCCACTACGCTGAGATTCCTTTGCATCTTCTATCTTCTCTCTAATTTCAGGCAGTAGTTCCTTCAGCTCCTTGATTTCTTTCTTGTATTCAGTAGGTGATCCTTCAGCCTCCTCCATCTGCTCCGTTAGTACAGCTACAAAAATAACAGGTTAATGTGATCAGTAAGAGTTACCATAAAAAGGAATCATTTTTTATGCCTGTCAATTGCCAGATCTACCAACACTATCATGAAGCAGCTGGTGCTCACTCACCCATTCTCTTCTCGATGACTTCAATAGACTTGCTGAACTGTACCACTGCCTCGTCATACTGAGAGTTGTACCCATAGGCTAAGCCCAGCTGGTAGTGGGTCTCTGCAAGGAGACGGTCATGGGCTTCCAGGTATTGCTCTTGCAGGGTTAGGCAAGCCTGGAACTCCTCCACAGCTTGGATATAGTTCTCTAACGAAGAGAAAAAGAACAGCATTTAATATAAAGTACTTCCAGAATTCAGGTGCATCCTGCAGGAATGCTCCCCTATTTTACATTTCATTTCTGTTTGTATTAATAGTATCTCTAAGATCCTTGGATATGAAGAATATCAAAATGACTTTTAAAAATCTACTGAAGTCCAGGCGTGGTGGCTCACGCCTGTAATCCTATCACTCTGGGAGGCCGAGGCGGGAGGACTGCTTGAGCTCAGGAGTTTGAGACTAGCCTGATCAAGAGTGAGACCCCGTCTCTACCAAAAAGAAAGGGGAAAAAAAAAAAAATAAAGCCCAGCTGGTTGTTGCAGTGCGCGCCTATAGTCCTAGCTACTGGGAAGCCGAGTCAGAAGGATCGCTTGAAGCCCTGGAGTTCGAGGTTGCAGTGAGCTACAATGACACTACTGCACTCTACGCGGGGCAACAGAGTGAGACTTTGTCTCAAAACACACACACACACACACACACACACACACACACACACACACACACACAATCTACTGAAATACTTTCA